TCTGTAATTCAGCTTGTATCCGGCCCTTCTGACACTGCAGTACGAATCCTCGTCGATGCCTACATTAAGACGTAGACCGTTGCCCTCTATGGCGCTCGAAATGACACGCCCGCAGGGGTGTTGAGCCCTGCGTTTTGGGCCCTCAGCAGCCCAAACTCATAATCTGACGATTTGTCAGCACTCCTCGGCAGGAAGATGGACATATTGTGCATCGGTGGGATGTCATCGCCACGTTTGACGCACACCATGGCCCCCCTCCAGCTTCCTAGTTTCTGTGCAGCCTCTTCCAGCCATTTTGCCGTGCCCTCGTCTTTGCAGTCCACTAGCAATATGCCGGGACGGAAGTACGCTCCGCAGAATGCCAGCGGGTGCGACCACCCCTTGAAAACCTCATCCATAATGGCGTTCTGTAGGGTAGTCAACTCCTCCGGACTCCGCGCCTCCGCAGGGTAGTCTCTAGGCAGTACCGCCACCCTGATGCGGTCTCGCCTCTACGCCTGCCTTTGTGGTGTCCCTCACCCCGCTTATCAGCGAGTGCATCCCTAACTTTCTCGCAGTCTATTAATAGTAGGGGGATCTCGTCGTCCACCGCGCCAGCGCCCGTTGTCGTGGTAAGGCCACCGTTACTCCTCGAGGCGGCTCGGTGTCGAGAAGGCGCCGTTCTAATACAGCCGGTTTCCCTCCTGGCTGCAAACCGTCCAATGGGCACGGTGTCGCTTCACACCCTGGATTAGGAGGTGGCAGTTCTTGGTCACCGTCCGCCAGCGGCCCTAAGCTGAGTCAGGGTAGCGCGGATACTACGAGAGCATTCGCGTTACCCTAATCCAGGGGAGGACCGGTTGACGATTCGGCTAAGCAGGCTAAGGTGCCTGCCCTAGCGGAGGAATAGTACCCGTTAGACATGAGTTGGGGACTAATTGATCACCAATTATACCCATAAGGGATGAGTCTAGACCAATTGACCTCCAATAGTACCCGTATGAGACTAGTTGGGACTAATTAATGCCCAATTGTACCCGATTGAGAGTAATCTCGGAATACTCGCTTTAGAGATTAGTCGCACAATTTTTGGCAGGGTAGCTTTGCGGCATTCCGTTCGTTGTAAAGTTCCATTCATGCTTACCTACAGCCATGATCCAATAATTAAAGGTTACATAATTATTGACAGCCGCGGTTTGACACTCCCTTACAAAAGGTTGCATTTACGAAAAACAGAGAAAGGGGAAGAATGAAATACATTGTTGCGAAAATGGTAGTAGAAACGAACACAAAGAAAACACTTAATAGTTAAATTCCTTTTGTAAATTTTAATGTATTTCGGCATTTCAAACGAAATATTGAAAGAAATATTAAGATATCTACATGTATTAAGTATTTTATGAGCTACTTAGCGGTATAAAAAGTGCAAAAGGACTCAAAATTAAAATAACACTACTGAGTTTTATGTAAACTTCGAATTTATAAACAATTTTTGTTTTCATCAGTTAAATGTGCTTTATATGCATATACAAATAAACATATTGCACAAAAACGTATAATTCTATTTCACATGACAGGCTACACTTTTTCAAGTAAATTTGCAAAGAAGCAACACGGTGCCACTGCTAAGGGAGCGGTGCGAGAGAGACAACTGTCAGTTTATCTAACCTTTAATTATTAAATCATGACGTACAGCTGTAAAAATATGAACATATACGTATATGCAAGGCATATTTAATAAGGCAGAAGTTACAACTATCTCGAACTCTTTTGTAGCTAGTTATAATGTAAAAAATTGTTAACAAACAAACTAACCCTTTGAGGTGCGAGTGTTATGTTTGCTACAAATTAGCATAAATTGAAACGCATCATGGTGAAATTATACCAGGAGAAACGAAAGACTTAACACTATCTCATTTGAAAATTTGCTGATAGCCGTTTTATTACTTCACTTGTTTGTAATTTCACCATGGAAATACATACATATGTACGTGATTTTAAGAATTACTTCAATAGTACCTTCAAAGAATTTTAATTACATTCTTATATGCACATATACATATGGACAGAAACGAAACAAAGGAAACCACGTTGACTAAGATTTATATTGTTCATTTCAATTATAACGATGCACCCTGTACAAGTGTTTCACTAATTCTTAATCGTTCCCATTTAATTCTATTCTATTTCTCTAACAATTGTACTACACTTGTTTTGAAGTCTCTCTCTTTTTTGGATCGCTGCATTGAATAAATGTGTTTGGAAATTACGTCGAGTCTTTTATTCAACATAAAATTTGGTGCCTATTGGGAGGACTAAGAACCGTGCGAAAATTAATAGNACTACTGAGTTTTATGTAAACTTCGAATTTATAAACAATTTTTGTTTTCATCAGTTAAATGTGCTTTATATGCATATACAAATAAACATATTGCACAAAAACGTATAATTCTATTTCACATGACAGGCTACACTTTTTCAAGTAAATTTGCAAAGAAGCAACACGGTGCCACTGCTAAGGGAGCGGTGCGAGAGAGACAACTGTCAGTTTATCTAACCTTTAATTATTAAATCATGACGTACAGCTGTAAAAATATGAACATATACGTATATGCAAGGCATATTTAATAAGGCAGAAGTTACAACTATCTCGAACTCTTTTGTAGCTAGTTATAATGTAAAAAATTGTTAACAAACAAACTAACCCTTTGAGGTGCGAGTGTTATGTTTGCTACAAATTAGCATAAATTGAAACGCATCATGGTGAAATTATACCAGGAGAAACGAAAGACTTAACACTATCTCATTTGAAAATTTGCTGATAGCCGTTTTATTACTTCACTTGTTTGTAATTTCACCATGGAAATACATACATATGTACGTGATTTTAAGAATTACTTCAATAGTACCTTCAAAGAATTTTAATTACATTCTTATATGCACATATACATATGGACAGAAACGAAACAAAGGAAACCACGTTGACTAAGATTTATATTGTTCATTTCAATTATAACGATGCACCCTGTACAAGTGTTTCACTAATTCTTAATCGTTCCCATTTAATTCTATTCTATTTCTCTAACAATTGTACTACACTTGTTTTGAAGTCTCTCTCTTTTTTGGATCGCTGCATTGAATAAATGTGTTTGGAAATTACGTCGAGTCTTTTATTCAACATAAAATTTGGTGCCTATTGGGAGGACTAAGAACCGTGCGAAAATTAATAGTTTAAGTTGCTTAATTTCGCGAATTTACAATTTCTACGTAATTTCAGGCCATTGCTGCGATATTCTCGGATCGCGAAAGATACGTATACGGCCATAACCACGCGTTATATTCTACACTGGTACGTAAATATATATAAATGGCAGAAATAAATCTGCGTAAGTTTCATGCATCGGCTATCTCCCGTGCATTGGAGCAAGTGCGAAAAGCGCGCACCGGCAAATTAGATGCATCTAAGGCTGAGAAGCTGCTACAGTCCGCGAACTCCCATTTCGAGCGCATGCTTGCAAACCACGAGGCGCTCCTTACGGCGGCCAAGGAAGAGGAATGGGATGTACATGCCGCATGGTGGGATTCGACGGAGGACATGTACAACGAATTATGTGCCAGTCTTATGCGTTGGGGTGCGAATGCTGGAGATTCGTCCGAGGTTCCCAGCAAGCCCAATGTAGATTCACTGATGGAGTTAAAGCTGGAGCGATTAAATATTCCAACCTTTGACGGCGCAAATCCATGTGGCGCGCTTCCTTAACCTTTCGTTGGCAGCAGATGAATCGGCGAAGTCTTTGCTGAATATTGCGGATGTGGTTAGCGGTTCTTTGCGCGCGTGCACTTACGGCACCTATCGTCGTATCAAAGCTACCTCCCTTAACAAAACGCCAGTGGTACATGCACTGTTCCCCAACGGAGTTGTCTACTTTGTCAGATCTATTGAAATTCTTGGAGCAGAGAGCACAGAGTCTGTCGACCGAGCTTGTTCGGATCGGCGATGGTACAGATACAGTGTCCGGTCGTCAACCACAGCGGTCACCAACCGCGCGCACTATGAAATGCAACCTTTCAACAGAGAAAGGGAAGTGTCATTATTGTCGCGGGGTACATAGGGTCATGCGCTGCCCAACTTTATTGGATTTACCACCGGAGAAGCGTTTTGAGGCTCTTAGAAAATCGGGCCTATGCTTCAACTGTTTGAGGTCGAGGCATGCATCTAAGCAGTGCTCCTCTGGAGGATGTCGCCAATGCGGCCGCAAACACAACACCATGTTCTGTCGCGAACAACAGCCGGTCGCGCCCTCAACAAGGATCGTGGCAGCTACTACCAGAACCTCATCGCAGCCGGGTGTACCAGTAGCACCGGCTTAACCTTCGTTATGACTATCTGACTCTGTGATTGGATGCTATGCTCAGGGTGATCAGACAATACTACTCGCAACAGCTCGTGCATATGTTTCTAGCGACAATGTGGAGGAACGACTGGCTAGGATTTTGTGCGACCCTGGACCACAAGTAAGTTTTATTACTGAGCGATTTACTAATGCTCTTAATCTACGCAGAAGCAGTTATGAAGTTGCAGTCGAGGGCATTGGTGCATTGTCATGTACACGTACAAAGGGCGCTGTGGCAATAACGCTCAATTCAACCCATACAGAATTTTCTTTGGCAGTTCATACGTTGGTCATCACATCAATTACTTCAGTGCTACCAACAGCGCAGATTGATGTGAATCGGTATGAACACTTGGTTGGGCTGCAAATGGCAGACCCACAGTTTGGTACCCCAGGAAGCATTGACCTTCTATTAGGAGCTGATGTTTGGGGTCACATTTTGGAAGGAGACACTATCAGAGGTGGTCACAATGAGCCACATGCTCAACTTACGTGTCTGGGTTGGGTCATTTTCGGGCCAGCCTCCGCGCTTCGACCAGCGTTCCATGCTTGCGCTTGGAAGAGTCTCGGTTGGACGAGATTGTAAGCAGCTTTTGGTAGCTCGAAGGGGGGCCTGATGTCGACCGTATGGCTGATGACGAATGTGAGCACATATTTTCAATGACTCACTCTCGAACACCAGAAGGGCGTTACATGGTGCGCTTACCAATACGACCTAACGCTGCACAACTAGGCGACTCTTACTACAGTGCTTTACGACAATTTTATCGCTTCGAGCGCCGGCTTGCCTCCGACATACAAGTGCGTACACAATATATGGGGTTTATGAGGGAGTACATCGACTTAGGGCATATAGAAGCTTTAGGTATCGCCCATGATTCTCCTCGTGCATATTACATCCCGCATCACGCCGTGATGGAGAAGTTGCGCGTCGTTTTTAATGCCTCAGCGCCAACGTCAACCGGTGTTTCGCTTAATGATGTACAGCTGGTGGGTCCAACTATTCAAGACTCGCTGATGGATATTATTTTCAGATTTCGACGTTACGCAATTGCTCTCATGGCTGACGTTGAAAAGATGTTTCGCCAGGTGTTAGTGGCACCGGAAGATAGAGATCTTCAACGGATCTTATGGCGCGAATCACCCACCGAGGAAGTTACCATATATCAGCTGAAAACGGTGACATATGGCATGGCGTGCAGCACCGAAAATGCGGTGCGATCATTGCGTCAGTGCGCAGTCGATAACTACAGCTTGGTGAGTGATCATAATCAGGTCGATTCGACGCGCAGTGCCATTCTTTCCTCCTTTTACGTCGATAATTTTCTCACAAGCTGTACTGCGGTTAGCGAGGCGGTTACTTTGGTGAATAACGTGTCGACGATTTTATCGGCAGGTTGTTTCAAGCTTCGAAAGTGGAACTCAAACAGAGCCGCCGTACTCGAACAAATTGGTGAATCCGCCTCAGTAACTGAACGCACCATTGATACCCCCATAGCTACAGTGCTAGGCCTGCGCTGGGATCCCACAAGGGACGAGCTGTTGTTCAAGGTATCTCTTAAGCACTCTGATGGACTTTTGACGAAGCGGCGAGTTCTTAGTGAAGTAGCCCAGCTGTATGATCCCACTGGATTTTTGGCGCCGGTCGTTATATCGGGCAAGGTATTTATACAGAGTCTTTGGGCCTCAGGGTGTATGTTGAGATACTCCACTACCGCATGATCTGTGCCAGGTCTGGTCAAAATTCCGCGGTGATTTGTGTACCCTCAATAAAGTTCGCGTACCTCGATGGCTGGGTATGAATACAACTAATCGGACTACTCTTTATGGATTTTGCGACGCCAGTCAGAAGGCATACGCTGCGGTGGTTTACGCACATACGATTGAAATCGGTGGCAGAGCGTACAAAGGTTGCGCCGCTTAAGGGCACCACAATCCCTAGACTGGAACTGAGTGGAGCACTTCTGTTGGCTAAAACGATTGGTACGGTTCGCAGAGCACTAAGTTTGGAGGAGGGTTCTGTGTATTTGTTGTCAGACTCCAGTGTAGTCCTGTCTTGGCTACGCAAACAGCCAATTTTGTTGAAACCCAATGTCGCCATCAGGGTCCGCCAAATACAACAACTGACTTCCACGAATTGCTGGCACTATGTACGTTCGGCTCAGAATCCAGCGGATTGTGCCAGTCGTGGTAAAGCTCCATCAGAGCTGTTGAGCCACAATCTATGGTGGACAGGCCCGGATTGGCTGCGGCAGAAGCAAACACCTTTTGATTCGGCGCCCGAGTTACAGGCTGATGAACGCGCTGCTGCGAACAGTGAGGAGAAGGCCAGAATTTTCACGTTCACATCCTCTATTCAATATCAGCTTACCACCCGACTCATCGATGGGCGCCAGATTCCATTAACACAACGGTATAGTTCCATAAAACGACTCCACCGAAGTACAGCTATAATCCTCCGCTGGTTACCAAGACAACGCCTTCTCCGGCAGAGTATTGTAACAACTGCAGAGAAAGATGGCGCGCTTGAATTGCTCATTCGTATTGATCAAGCGTCCGCGTTCCTCGAGACTTATATTATTTACGAGTAGAAACAACTTTACCAAATTCCAGCCCACTGATACCATTTAACCCATACTTGGATGACCATGGCATCATAAGGGTAGGTGGACGCATTACTAACTCCGCGTTGCTAGAAGAACATCGCCACCCGACTATACTTCCGAAGGTCTGCGATTTGGTTAGGCTGCTGATACACCAAGTTCACATCGACACACTTCACGGTGGTGTGCAGTTAATGCTACAGACTCTGCGGTATCGTTATTGGATTACAAATGGCAGGCAAGCGGTACGTAGCTTCATCCATAGGTGTGTGATTTGCCAAAGGAACCGTGGAGCTACTATAACGCAACAGATAGCCTCATTACCACGACAACGAGTCAACGTAGCACGACCATTCCTGGCGTCAGGCGGGGACTACTGTGGGCCTTTCATTGGCACCAAACGAAGTCGGACTACCGTGAAGACCTATCTGGAAATTTTCGTCTGCATGGCAACTAAAGCTGTGCATATCGAGTTGGTGGATGACTTGTCCTCCATGGCTTTTATTGATGCTTTCACGCGTTTTGTTAGCAGACGCGGCCAGAGCCGAGACTTATACAGCGATAATGCCACGACATTCGTTGGTGATAATCGGGTAATGCGGGAAGATTTAGCCGCCTGGCACAGCAGCCAGAATCAACAATGACTTGCAAAAATGGCGAAGATATGTGCCTTTCCATCTGTCTTTTGGTATACCAACTGTTTTCCACACAAAGCGCTTTCCCAAAAATTTGGAAATTTGAAAAATTTCTTTATATTAGCTTTGTTCCACACGCTTTCCGGGCTGTTTTGGTAATTAGAGCGTAAAAATGAGTTATTCTCTCACAAGTGTTAAAAATAAGTCAACACGTGCCAAAAGTGCCCAGAGCGTGAGGAATGCAAAAAAACCACATTTCGTGCCCGGAATCAACAAACCAGCTCCAAACAATGATTTTATGTGTATTTATCTTATATGGCTAATCAAATTAGCAAATACCTACATTTCTGAAACTTTACTTCTATTTTCCATTTTGGTATTTTACAAAATTTGCGCTCGGATGTAAACAAACAACAACCGTTATTTCAAATTGACTTCTTGCACATTTTTGCCCGGAAAAAGTCCGGGCTGTTTCGGGCACGAAGAAGAAGACCTTTACGATTCAAAAGTGGAGGGTATACGCTCTCTATTACCCATTTTTCTAGCGTGAGAAACGCTTTCTGGGCTATTTTGGGCACCCGCGGGATCCCGCCGGCTCGTGTGGAACAAACCTATTATTAAACGTGCTACACGTTCGTCAGAAAATGCGAAAAACTATTCCTTAGCACATGCTAATAATATGGGCAAGCAAGACTTTACCTTAGGGTTTTTCAACAATTTATAACAAAAATTTGCTCCAGCACCAGTGTACGTTTTTAGTGCAAAATGTTAAAAATGCCAAATTTTGAGTTGCGTCTCTTTTGAAGATCGTGTGCGATATGTGTATAAGTAACCTCTTACGTGAGTCTACACTTCGTGTTTTTAATATTTAAATCCATAAAAGCGCACTTTGTGTTTATCTTAAAGAAATATTGTAATTGTATTGAAATACACTGTAAATTGATATGTATGTACTTATGAGGTGGGTTTTGTCGAAGTCTGAGGTATGCTCAGCCGCTCCAGAGTCCAGCGAAGGTCCCACTAACCCCCCACCAAATAAAACACAATGATTTGTGTATTAAGTCGAACACACCCACACACACACGCGGCTATCCAGAATACCGGCAACTTGTCGTGCAGGGGAGCGAAGGAGATGAAAAGAGAGAGTCGGTAGTCGGTGTCGGAGATTATTCGGCGGGTAATTGTATGGTGACGGGGGCGCTATTGGTGACGGCAAGATTGGCAGTGGTACGCGTCAGTCGTAGTGAAGAACGTGGCACTGAGAGCAGTCGCAGCCTGCAGTTCCTTTGTAGTGGTGGTGGCGGCCTCAGCGGTGACGTTGACAGTGGCCCAGGTAATGATGAGGGCGGCAGCGACCTCCCGCAGTGGTGTTGTATGTGACCCTGATTGTGGCGAGGGAGAATGCGGTCCCTTTTTACTACGACGGTGACAGCGGCCCTGGTCGGCGGTGCTTGACGTGGTAGTGAAAAAAAATCTGAGTCCCGCTACTTTTAGTGGGATTAGAAAAAGTAAGCCTCACTATATTCAATATTAGTGCTACTTGAAATTTAGTGCACTACGCCCATGTCTGCCAATATTAAAGGCCTAGTTGGTTCAACGTTTTATTAACAGATAAATGGGCCAACTTCTCGTGTATCGACTGTATTACATCAGATTCCATTTCATGAGGCACATATAGTGCGTTTTTACCTTCACTGTATCGACTGTATTACATCAGATTCCATTTCATTATGCACATATAGTGCGTTTTTACCTTCAGTTTTTTTCTATATACTAGACCATCAATTAAATCGAAATCGTTCAACTGTTCATTTTCAAGTTTACTTCGCAGGGATTTAATATTCTGATCACGCTCTTGAGCGACCTGAATACGGAATTCTACATCATCAATATCTATAACAGCAGCAATCTCCCGTCTACTTAATGCGTCGCCATGACCCATAGACCTCTTCGATGCTGTATCTTGTAATTATAATTTTCCAACTCTAAGGCCCATCTGGCTATTCGGGAATTCAACTGCTGTCTTCTATCAAGGGTCACGTTTAGAGAATTATAGTCTGTAACTATCGTAAATGGTATGCCTTCTAGGTAAGTCCGAAACCTTGTTAGCGCATATATTATCGATAAGGTTTCTAACTCAAAACATTGGTATTTAGTTTCGGCACTTGAGGCGTTTTTAGAAAAATAAGAGATGGGGTGCATTTTGCCGTCATCTTGACGTTGTAGGAGTACCGCACTAAAACCGATACTACTGGCGTCGCAGTGTAATTCAGTTTCCTTTTCTGGGTTGTAAATAACTAAAACTGGGCTTTTAACTAGTGTGGACTTTAATTCACAGAAAGCGTCTTGACATTTTTCGTCAAAATTAAATTATGCATTTCTTTTTAAAAGATCTTGCAAGGGTTTGGCAATTCGTGAAAACGAAGGTACAAATCTTCGGAAATAGGAAAATACACAGACACGACTGCAGTTGTTTCGGATTTGTAGGGATACTTCTGATATGGGAATCATTAGGTGCTATTCCCGAACAAGTGACCTTATATCGTAAGTTCTTCAGGATAAGCTTCAAGATGCGTAAAGTAATTCTGTCTAACACAGATTTTAACAATACAATTTGATCTTCAAAGTCCTCAGTGCCAATAGTTATGTAGTCCATATAAACAATGATTTTCCTCTCATTATGTTAAATCTCGAAAAATTAATTAATCCCAACGGCTTTTTACCCTCCATTCCCGCACAACCGACACGAGGGGCGCAATCCGCATGACGCACGGAACCTTTTTTTANTTTTTGAATTGATTCAATCCTTTCTGAATGAACTTGGTAGCGGGGATTCCAAATAATAGATCCGTATCCTAGTATAGGTCTAACTAAACTGGTAAAACGAGCTTTTGTAACATAAGGATCTTTGAACTCTTATGACCATCGCCTTACAAATGCAAAGCGCCTTTGGCCATATTGACTGTAACATTAATATGATGGTTAAAAT